GTTCCGGTGGACTAGTGCTTAGAGCGTCGGCCTCAAATGCGGGAGGTCGTGGGTTTGATCCCCGGCCGATACATACCAAAGACGTACAAAAATGGTACTAACAGCTGCCTCGCTTGGCGCTCAGCATGAAGAGGTTAGTGTTAAAACTGGTCGGCCTGGTGTCAGGATAATGTGACTGGGTGGGACATGATGCTTCATGTCTGTAGCATGATGCTCCAATGATAGACATCACTATAAAATGCCACACTGCAGACATCGTGGCAATATGACTGAAAAATTGTTAAAGCTACGTTAAAATCTAAATCTCTTTCTCTCTCTCTCTCTCTCTCTCTCTCTCTCTCTCTCACACACACACACACACACATATATATATATATATATATATATATATATATATATATATATATATATATATATATATATATATATATATATATATATATATATATATATATATATAAATGCTCTCAGACGTATGTAAAAAACTTCCATATGTCCCGTATTTCAAAGTTAGAATAAATAAATGTTTAAATGGTTGTCATTTTTGGAACAAAATTTGAAGGATCTTTTCCTTATTTTTGTTTTCAACAATTCAAAAATATTTGATATCTTTAATATTGTTTTTGTATAACAAAAAACTTTGTCTACACCTTTATCCCATCAAAACTCACTCAAACAAATACAAGTTATTTTGTGTTATACTTAAATAGTTGTTTTTATCTAAAAAAAATCATGCAATATTTATATCATTTCTAGAAACATGGTTGTCTAGATCTTAATATAGTTATGTGCTATTATTTATCGTTTGTGAAAACTGTTAAAAAATATTTCGCACACCATCTAAATACACAATCAAGAGAACATCTTTTGGACTAGGTGTCCGTTTTGTTTTACGAAAAATTTGACTGGTCCAAGGATTCGAATATATTACTGAGCTTTGAATAAAATTGCCAGTGCTTATATTTACGTTTCTATAACTTTTGTATGCATATACATGTCTGCTGGGACAAGAGCAGAACTCGATGGAACTTGTACTATTTGTATTTTGCAAATGGCTAGTACGATTGGTATCATCACTACGGGCTTTTAATACAAATGGTCAAGTGGACCATGCAGATAAAAAGATGTGTATGACATAGCCTTTGAGATAAAGACACAATGAATATTTATGGCAAACTTGAAGAGGGTGGAGGTAAAAGAAACAAGGCGTTTTCGAATACGATGAAATCTCTATCACTATTTAAAGTAACAACGTAAAGATCCATGTATTCGTATGATCTACAAGACTAAGTGGAGATGATGTATTGAATATTTATTGCAATATTCAACTTCTGAAATAATGTTTTGATGCTGAATTCGTAACGATATCATCTGTAAAAGAGAGAACAGAGACGAGTAAAGGAAGGCAATATTACTATGGTAAAAAACAACATTATTTTGAGAACTATAAAACACCGATGATATCAAATGATAGTGGCATTTTATGTATACTTGCGGTAAAAGGTTAAAAGAATTACCTGATAATGTTACCTAGAAATGAAAACATCACATGAATTTCTTACGGAAGTTTGTAATTTTGTATTTTATAACTAGTTACTTGTTAAGTGATTATCTTTCCTAAGTACTTTTTAGTTTCTATCTGCAGACATACAGACATGCATGCATACATACATACATGCATGCATGCATGCATGCATGCATGCATGCATGCATTCATACATACATACATATATATATATATATATATATATATATATATATATATATATATATATATATATATATATATATATATATATCTGAGAGAGAGAGAGAGAGAGAGAGAGAGAGAGAGAGAGAGAGAGAGAGAGAGAGAGAGAGAGAGAGAGAGAGTTACACCAACACGCCTGTACGGCTTTAATCGTTCCTTTGTTATTTAGTTTGACATAGCACATGTGAGTACGAATAAATAATATTGACTGTGCATATTTAGTTTTATCTATTGACTATTCAAAGGTTTCTTTCAAATGTAGCCTTCTGACCAAGTGCAGTGATAAATGTTATTGTTTACCATGGGTTATTTACAGTATGTGCTCTAAAATAAATTAATCTTGATCGATCGGGCTTGAATTGATATTCTAGTCACAGTCATATGGAGAACCATTATCTTTTATTCACATATACCGTTCATGGTTTCACGCTTTCAGTAAAAAGGTGTAAGCTGAATATTTCTTTCGGCAGTCCCATTATATGGACTTGAAAGTACTGAAATTTGCCTAAAGTTTAGTCTTTTCAAAGTCAGTTCCATTCAATGATTTCTCCATTAGCTGGTTGCGAGGGATGTGTGCTAAATGTTTGCCCAAGATACCGTCAGCGAGTTCACCTTTAGGGAATGTGAAAATTTATCTGTAGACTTGGAAATATATACTTCAAAGTTCTGTGCAGTACATCTTGGAGTGAAATGATTTTTATGTATCAAACTACATTTTACATAATTTTATGTTACTTTATATTATAAGGGTTTCACAGAAGTTGGATATATACATATGAGCTGATGAAAATTAACATTGGATTCTGCGACGGGACTGGAAAACAGAAACGAATCGATTTGAGAACTTACACTATAATTTAGATTGAATAGTGAGTATTACAAACATTATTCGTGTTACTTACGTAAGAGACAATAATTTTTTTGCATACATTATATTATGTTAATAATATAGATATTAACAAAAATGTTCTTCAATCTTACATTGGTTCACCTAGATAAAAAGCTTAGTGACTAAAATAAAAACTGTGCCTCTTTCATGTTCATTTTTTATGAACGTAAATTACATATACATAATTTCTTAAGTTCACGCTTTCTGCTTGAATCATAGTTGATTTGATTACCAAAACACATAAGCGTATCACGTTTTGAAATAAAACGTTCAATTATGTAATTATATGAGAATGGAACCTGCAAGCAAAAACATATATTCCTCAAGCATAGACAAAATAAGTAGATGTATTTCTAAAAAAAAACACATACCAGTTTTGTAGAAACGCAATAGTTATGTGGCATTCTGTGTAAAGTTTCAACACTGAATATGTTGGCAACGTACGTCTCATTTAGACAAGATGTCGAATGATCCAGGACGTATGAAGGTGGGGCAAGGTATCCTAAAATGATCTTTTCTTTAGTACTGAATCTCTCGAAGTCTTACTTCATTACGATACATTGTTTTGACAATTTTACTCAGATTAATTGATCGGCTCTTGGCACACCTTTCACCATGGAGATTCCAATAGAGCAGGCTGATTATAGGAATTTATAGAAGCAAAAAAAAAAAAATAAAATAATAATAATAAAAATAAAAATGAAACGTAAACGCGCTAATTCCGAGGATAAAAGTGGCTGATCCTTAAGGGACTCCAGGGTAAGTTAGTGTACCTTTTTTGCGGCTGTGTGAATAGCTTTTATAAACATCTACTCTATTAATTCCGTGGTTAATAATTTAAATCATAATTTGTTTATTTTTAGGAGAGCTGTGAAAAATAGATAAATGGAACAAAAAGCTAAAGTGCAAATAAACATAACTGCAATTCATGTCACTCCTTTGCACTGTTTCATGTTCACATTGCTAACAGTATAGATTGTACAGGATCGGTGAAATGTAATTCGTGTATACTTGTTCACTTACTGCTCTACGATACACGATATGATTGTTCTTGGTACAAATAAAACATTCAATAGAACTTTATAAAACGCTACGATTAACTACAATAGGCACGAAGACAAAGGTTGACAATTTCTCTGTTATGTCAACATTGTTGTACATTGACATCCCCTTGAATAGATTTCCTGACAGCCGTAAACGATTGAATTTTACTCTTTATGTTTCTAAAACAAAGATCAATGAGTCCAAATGAAAAAGCACTGCAAGTTCAGACGTTGTTGTATGTATGATTCGCATAGCGTCAGATTTTTAATATGGCTGTTGTTTAAACTATTGTTTTCACTTAAATCCATACCACCACTATTTTGTAAACATATCGCCTTTAAAGTTTAAAAAGAAGAGTAAAATATATTTATGACGATAGTTTTTAAAGAAACCATGTGATAGTCTTGTTGATACAATACACGAGCATCCATCTTTCTGTATGTTCATCTGTCAAATAATGGGAAAATATTTAACACTTCACGTATGCACAAGAAAAATTTACTTTTGAAAATTTGTCCATATCTTCTATCTGCAATATGTTAATTTGATAAAAATATAGTACTCATGAATACAAAGACTATAATCCAATCAATTCACTAATGAGACTGAAAGAAAGTTAAACTACAACATATGGGAAAGCGGACGATAATATTTATTCCGCGAATGGCCTTATATGTTGATAAAAGCATGACCTTGGCTCGATAATAAACTACGAAAGTCGCTTTCCAGCTGATATGGCGTTTGAAACCTTTCATTTCCTCTTCATTCTCAAATACAATGCAGTTTGTTTAGTTAGACTGGCTACCTAGCGATGTTGTTATTAAATGATAGAGCAATAACAGTATGCAAACACTGTAAGTTTGACCCAGATATTTAAGCTGAAAGAGAGATCATCCAGTCACATCGACAAGTAGCGAATAAAACGGCAAGATGCTAATAAATGTAGTTATCATACGGATATTTTAACGGCACGACTGTGCTCAAAAGTCCTTAGCTAGCACATTAATAATTTGTACCTTGTTGTTAGGCAAAGGTTTATTGAAAATCACTGAACTGATTGTATGATGCTCAACAACGGTATAACACGCTCGCCACTTAATTAAAGAAACTCGTTCTATGGGGATTGGAAAGATATTATATTAAAGTCGCAAGCGTCAAATTAACTGGACAAAATAACAGATTATTTGTCAGAAACCATCAACGGCAGGCCCGGCCCTATGCCCGCGTAGAGCTTGGCCCCAAGGAAAAAAACTGTATGGCGGAGTTGATATGCTGAAAACTCGGGTCCCAAAGTGGTTGCCTGGTTTGCCTTTCCCAAGGGCTGGGCCTGATCAACTGGACAGAAATGAAAATCCCATTTGCTTTTCTGTACATGTATCAATGACCAATT